ATTGTCAGACGATTTGAATATACTTGGCTCTGGAATCGATTTTTGAGGAGAAAGGCAAGAGTTTGAGCGTAGTGTAATGTTCTTATTAAGAGCAGATGTATTCAGAATGAGTTAGCAAAACTCAAGTTTTTTTTGTTATTACCTTTCGCTCATCAGTCATTTAGTTTTCGAGTTGATGCTCATGTGAAAGATTGTCTGCCATTTTAACGGCTATTCCTTCTCGATGAAACTATAAGCGTAAGAATATTTTGAATATATTGCGGTCTTCTCATGGAAACTGTTTACTTGACTACGTATGTTAGCAGCTAGTTGATCTCTTTATGAGTACTTTCTTATACGGTGATTATGGACGAAAGCAGAAAAAATTGCAAATTGAAGTTACTTGATAATCAAAAGTTCAGAAAACTTGGAGATATAACATACGGATGAAGCATGAACAATTAGGGGAAGCAATAAGTTTTTATTACTTGCCCGAATTCTTTTTAGGGGAAGCAATTGCTAACTCGTTGCTTACCGGTGCGCCGTCCATGCCACGGATAGAGGTGTTAGCCGCCGATTTTCCGCCGCCGCCGCCGCCGGTAAAATTTTCATCCGCCGCCGCCGAATAGAACGTCTCGGCGGGAACTTTTCCGCCGCCGCCGCCGATCGAGTGAAGGGTCACAGTTCAAGCTTCCTCTTTTCTAGATTATCACTTGTTGACAATAATCAGTAATATCTCAAGTTTGATCTATGTGACAATTAGAAATTGCTGAAACCAACAGAACTTTTAAAAAATAGGAATTAGTGTATTTTTTCTTGGATGACATATGGTCTGAAAACCGAGCTGATAAGAAAATATGTCTCCTTGTGATTTTGTGACGCTACCATATTTATTAGGTTTTCATTTGCATTATTCCTTCATGCACAATAGATTCATCGCTATTATTTTCTTCGTTTCGCGATTTTTGACTTATTCAGTATGCAGTTTCGACTAACTGTCTAGTTTGAGTTCGAATATAGATGTAACTAACATTGCGATTCGAATTCGAATTCCAATCGACACTCTCCTACCAGTTTAGAAAAAAGAAAAATATTTAGTTTCAATTTGAATTTAAATAATCAATGAAAACAAATCTTGCTCTTTTTCTCCACTCACAGAAAAGTATCGATTTAAATTTGGATTCAAATTCTAATTTCAATGTTAGTTTCACTTATGATCTAATTCGAGCTAGCATAGGGATGGCACATTATCTTTATTTTACTTTGAAAAAGTAAAGTAAAGTAAAGTAGAGTAAAGTAAAATACTATAGTTCGAATGTGGAAAATAAAGTGAGATAAAGTTAACCAAACAATATTTTTTATGTATCCATAAAAAACCGATATTTTTCGGCTTTACTTATTTTTTTTCACACTAATTTTAAGACGAAACAATATTGAAAGAACTTTGATACGTTCTAAGATTATTTCTACACGATCCTGAACTAAGAAATTGCCAAAAAATTTAAAACATACAACTTCATTTTTTTTCACTTTACTTTACTTTACTTTTTTGGTAACGTATTTAACTTTATTTGATCGGGTAAAGTAAAGTTCTAATACTTTACTTTATTTGGTAAAGTAAAGATAAGGTGCCAGCCATAAGCTATCATGTTTGAATTTAATTTTTATTTTAGATGGATAGTCACATTATTGCCATTTTGACTTATATCATGAGTTCTTGTTGTGTGGTTTGAAGTTATTTTATGATGGGACAATGTGAATTTTTTCAATTAATGAAAATAAAGTTACATCTAGTGGAAAAATTTTTCCATAAAAACACATGAGCGTGCTAAGAAGAAAACAGCGTTATAATTCTATGAGAACAGAACGCCTAATGTTTGTCTTAACGGTAGGGATCTACGAAAGACCCTGTGAAGTAACATAGGAAAAATTTTGTCGTCGCCGCCGCCGCCGAAAATGACCTCCTCGGCGAGAGCTCCTCGCCGCCGCCGCTGATGCCTTAAAAATTTTCCGCCGCCGCCGCCGATCAAATGATCGGCTAACACCTCTAGCCACGGGATGCACCCATCAAAATAACAAAACACAAATTCGTGAGACTGTTGATCGACACTTCTATATTACCTACAAGATTGTATTAAATATATGTGTACTGAATTAGAAAGTTTTACTCTAGTCTACAAAGAAAGCACAAAAATTTGGAGAAGCAATAAATTTTTATTGCTTCTCCAAATTTTTTTTAGGGGACGCAATTGCAACTCCCTGTAGTGCTGACGTGCCGCTCATGTAGCCTCACCCTAGTATACGTAAGATATCGTTATCTTAATATCATTTCAACATGCATTTTGAGGGTGATGATTAGATTGATTCACATATAACTTGTTCTCTTGTTCTTTTGTGTTACACACTTCTGATTATAAAGCGACACGATGCGACTAATTTTTATTTGGTCTCTAGTCTGGTTGACAATGATCAACGAACCATTCTTAGTAAGTCATACATCGTTCGTTGATACTATTACGATCATGCCAACGCCTATTCCGGATAATAAGTTTGAGCAAGTGATTGCTGAACGTTATCTGTTTGCGCCGTTTGCAAATGAATCGACTGCTTGGCCTGTTCTCAATAATATTCAAAATGCATGGCAGACAGCTCCATTACCGCGTTATCATTTTCAAGCTGCTGAAGGAGTTTGGTTACTAACTCAATCTATTAATAGAGTACAAGAGGTGGATTTAGGAACTTGGACACTGCAAATGTATTGGATGTCTTTGTCTGCCAATGGTACTTTGATAGCTTTATCTGAGATCGACGTAAAGAGCAATACCAGTCTTTTGGTCGTATCACATAATGAAAACACTGCTGTAGCATACACAGCCGCACTCATCTCGCATGATAGTGTGCAATTAATTTTGTGTAGCCGATCAGATGCTAGTTCGTGCAAAGTTATACAAATCATAGTTTTTCCTTCTGCCCTTCTGAATACCACTAAAATCACAGGCGGTTTATTTGTGGAGGATTTGGGAGCTAGAGGATGGTTGTATTTTGCTGCGGATTCGGGACTGCACGGATTGGATTTATCGACATTTATGATCAATCCATTTCTTAATGAGATCAATGTGTCTGTTTCCTCCTTGGCATGGAGTTCCAAACGGCAGACAATATTTGCTGGTACTGAGACCAAACTTTGGATTCACTCTTATGGTGTTGGTA